ATCTAACTTAGTAGAAGCGGCAGAGTTTCCTGAGCTAAGCGACAAATAATACCTTAAAAAAGTTGCAAAAGACAGAGTGTAGTTAGAGCTGCATCAAATAGTCGAGCGTATTTGTGAAGGCGCATGTATTGACAGCTGACGTAGTGTTATTAACTTTCTGACAGTAGTGTATCCAAAGTGTTGTTTTTACTAGTATCGCTGATGGATGTTTATGTGTAGTAGATTTTAGGAACCTTAAGATCATTCTACGTTGTTAGACAATTAGTGTAACAAGCGGAAGTAATACAGAAGTTCGACAATGGATAATGAACAATATACGTAATACAGAAGTTTGGTCAACAATCCAAAGTTAACATCACAAACTGACTTCAATTGAAAATGACGTCTGTTTCAGGGTGTTCTGCCATTGACAACTTGATCGAGTCTTCTAAAACTAATGACAACGGGGTATTATTGGCCAAATGGTGGCATCTCAAATGGCTTCCTTGTTCAAATTTCACTGATATAGGGACGATACAATGTTTCACTAATCAAACCATATATTATCGTTATGCCACATACAAACAGCAGTATGAGGATGAAACGTCGATAATGTTATTGATTATTGGAACTAGAGACGAATGCACACATGACTTTATAGGAGAATTTGCAAGAATATATTCTCTTCCATTACACAAGTATAAAAACCCATCCAATATTGCTCATTTTAGAAGATATTCAACATGGATATGGAAGCGAAATCAAATGATTAAAGGATTAACTAAATATGAAGAAAACTATTACCTGGTAACTGAAAGAGAGTTTTCTTATTGTTATTCTCTCTATGGATTCTGTTCAATGTGTCAAATACTCAGATGCAGTCCTATATGGTGCATTTGTGGTCACAAAGAATTGTCAACCTTGTGGATTAGCAACAACAAGAAACTGGATAGAGTCATTCGGAACTCGCAAAAAAGGACAGAAAAAGCAAATGAGGCTTACTTGGAATGGATTCCCTCTGAATGGCTTTTATTTGATCCATCAAGTGGTGAAAAAAATATTGATGACGCAAAAGATGGAAACAATATTATTTCATTAACCAATGAAAGCCATAATAATAACCAACGATATGCTAACACATGGGTACCTAGCATACCAATTCGCGGATATCATTCTGTAGACTTGATTCCAGTTGACATATCAGAAGAGACGGAGAATTTGTTCTATTACCAAGTGAGTGGGCTATTGCACCTATTTTAGTTGTTTTCAAAAACTAATATTAAAACATGTAATGTTTCCTAGTTATCCAAAAATTACCCTGATATACTTGATGTCAATGTCTGCATTACTATTGGGTTTACATATCATCCACAACAGCAAAAATATGTTCTGATTAAAACAACGAGCAGAGATGGATTATGTCTTGCATGTACAAAATTTTTAAACCCTTGTATAAGTACCTTTTGTGTTGATTTAGAATGTAGAGCTCCAAATCCTCCTGACTGGTCTACCGGAAAGAAATCGCTAGACTCGTTTATCATGAAGTCATGGAAGAATGTACTCGTTGTTGCTGATGGCTACATTCAATGGATAGAATTCTGTCAACTAGTAAACATACAAGAGATGTCACTATTGGATTATGGTTGTTCACATGTGGCAGACTGGATTGTCCCTGTAAATAATGAAAGCAAGACAACAAGGGTGGCTATTAAAAAAATAATTGATGGATTCGACAGTCACTTATTTGACTTTTCTCAGGTAATCTTTTTGGTCAAACAATGCAAAAAAGTGTTTTGTATTATTATTATTGCTAACATTAATGTATGTGCAACATAGTTGACAGAAGAGTACCCACAAATCTTAACTCCACACAATATTTGGATTATTGGTATTACGCAGGAGCCAGTAACTAAAGATTATTACCTGGTATTTTATTATGATATGCATTCAATTTTGGATAGACTTGTACAGACTGTGAGTTTAGGAGGTAATGATAGTGGGCTACAGTTTGTACAGTTTAATCAGTTTTATGAACCACTAAAGATTGGATCTGGTGGTTATGGGACGGCTTATACTGTCAAATGTAAGGCGAGTCCACTCGATAAAATAGGTTATCTTGTTCTGAAAACTTTTAAAAATTTCGGTGACATGCTAGATTTGTTTATTTCCGAGGTGAGTAATACATACATTTTGTTTGCATTAATTATTAAACTTGCTCTAACTTTTTATTTTACAGTTCAAAAATCATGTTAGATGTAATACATATAACGATCCACTTCTTAAAATTTATGGGCTCACACAGCGACCAGAAACAAAAGAATATATAATTTTAATGCAATATGCCAAAGATGGCAATCTTTTTTTTCATTTGGATAAATACATCAACAAATTAACGTGGAAAGATAAGTTAGAGTATTTGCATAATATCGCAAAAGGCCTACGGATTGTCCATGAACGAGGATTAATACATTGTGATCTTCATGGCGGCAACATCGTATTTGATCATCAGAAAAATGCTAAACCTTTGCCGTACATATGCGATCTTAGAGTTTCACAACCGATGAATTTATCCAAATCGAATCCAAGCATTCAAGGAGTCTTACCTTACATTGCACCAGAAGTCTTTTGCACTCGTAGATTCTCTCAGGAATCAGACATCTACGCTTTTGGCATTCTGGTTTATCAGATCGCCAGTGGTGAGCCACCCTTTAGAGACTTGTCGTTTGACAACAGTTTAGCAACACGCGTTCGTGAAGGACTTCGACCAAAAATGCCCGACTCAACGCCAGAACGCTATAAGAAACTTGCTGAAACATGTTGTGCTGCTGATTTCACCAAGCGTCCGTTTGCGTGTGAAGTGTGTTGGAAAATTGATGAGATTTTGAGACTTGTCGATAAGGATAGTAAGTGGAATGCTATTTATTACAAGGATAGCATAAAGCCAATGTCACTTATTGAGAAAGAAAAAAAGTATTCCAGTCATTTGCTACCAACTGGCGATTTTTCTATACCACAAGATAGTCATCATGTCGATTCATTGTCAACCATGATGGAAATTGATATATGTTGACAAGATAATTTAAATTTTTCAAAAATTAATATAACTTTGAGCAACTTTTCAACGGAGCAAAGTGAATGAGCCTTCGCGATAAGGTTTTTTGTATTTTAGGTTGTATGTATAGTTATTTATACTGTAAGATGACTACCTAATTTATTTTTAAATTTGAGGCTATTTAACATATTACAAATATAAGGAATGTTCTATCAGTATTTACACGTAACTTATTAACTGTAAGTGTATTGTGGGTGACCACGGAAAATAGTTTATTTTTCTATAACTAAGACTACAGTTGTCGTTGTTGCCCAAAATATAACACTATTACTACAGCACAACTCTAAATATACGTTGACCAAAAAAGTGACAGTTTATTTAAGATACTTAATACTGTCCATTATAACTATAACACGACTATCATGTTTCGCATCACCTTACGATGCCGGTTAAATATGTTTGCTTTATTTGATAATTTTTCTTTATAAATAATGAACACCTATAATAGATTACTCTTATCCAATAAACTCCATGTATCACCGCAATTAGCTCAATGTTTTGTTTAGTCTTCGGATTAATGAGCTCAATTTTCAAAATTTAAGACTAATCTCATACATAATACAATAGAAAAAGGTGTTAAGCTGATCTAATGTTATACTACAATTGTTTGGATGACACTGAATTCCACGTGTTTGTTCAATATCGGACAAGAAATTTATGTAGAGCAGTCAGTTTGTGTCTACCGCATTTTGTTTCGGTCAAAGATACAGTATTTCTGGGATGGCTGTCAGACTAGAAAACGCTACCTCATGAAGTAATGCCAAAATACAACAAGCTTGTATTGGCCTCCATTAATTTTACGATTCTTCCTGTGAGATTTAACACAAACGTAATCGCCGATACATGTTGTGTTGCTTATATCTCTTAAGCATAAAGTTTTGATCAAGTTATGTGATCTCCTAAGTAACCGCTATAAACTTGTGATTTACGCCAAGGCAAATCAAGAGATCTGAACAGAAATAGAAAACAAATGGAGAACCGTGAGTTTATTGTAGAAGAAACGTTGGACCGCTAAACCACAGATATGATACGTGGTAACTGTATGACCATAGAATAACTAAACGTGCGATATAATGTTTGCCAGAATCGAGCATGAGGTTTGTTATCTAATACTGATATATATATATCCCGATACTATTACCAGTTGTAACAGAATATTTGCTGCCGAGCAAATGGTTATTCTGTGTCGCAAAGTATGTTAGTCATTACGTCTAACAATTTCATAGTGAATATGTTCCTCGCCCTTAAAATCGGATGATGGTTTTTGCATCCAATTATTATAATTGTCAAAAAAAAAATTGTCTTGCTAATGCGCCAGGGGGTTGTCATTCCATAAGTTAAAGATTATTGGTTCGTCTTAAAATAAGGTTTGATGAACTTGATAAAGTACAGAAGTATCGGATGTCAAAATCCGTATCAATATTTTAATTTAAACATTAAGCAAAGGCGGCGTGGCTATAATCTGTTAGATAATCAATGATTATCTATTACTTAAACTACGGCACAATTTTACTGCGTGCTATGTGAATTACGTTAGCTTGATATGACTAACACTGACTATGATGTGTAACCGCTTGACATTTGTTTGTTGTACACATAGACTTGAACATAACAGGCAACAACTTCATTGTTTTGGAGGGTAATACTAATCATAAATCAATGGAGAACCCCGTCCTCAAACGACAAGTATTCAATCATCAATCGTACAAATCCAGTATGACATAATAGTATTAGTATTACAGATTGTCGATTAATCACAAGATCAGACGTAAAGAATGTTCTAACTAGTATAAGCTTTCTAAGTATCCGCCCATTGCAAGATTATTTATCCGATCGAAATATATAAACAACCGCACAAGTCATATTCGCCCAACTTATTTTTCACAAAACTTCAACATAATAAATGGTTATGACTGAAGACGTTGAATCACAAATCGACGAGGATCAAGTCATTGAACTTTCTAAAGTCAATAACATCACTTACGATGATCCACACGAATGGCCAAAAAGAAAAAAGTATTTTGTTCTTTCAGTGATATCGGTTACTGGAACGATAGCTCCTTTAACAAGCTCGTGAGTTAAGCAAAACCCATCAGCATTATTACGCTTTTTACTAGTAATATTTACAAACTAGAATCATACATATTTAATTCATCTAGGATATTTTTCCCTGTGTTACAAGTAATAAAAAAAGCATTTCATACAACCGACATGACTGTAAATTCATTAGGTAAGGAAAAATCTCACATGTAAATACATTTCTTTTCACTTACATAAGCACTCCCCACAGTGGCGGTATTTGTTCTGACAATGGGAATCTGCGTAAGTAAAAAACAAACAATTGATTATCAATACATGTCAGTCTCGTAACTAGTTTTTTATAATAGCCACTCGGTTGGGCTGCATATTCGGACAAGCGCGGAACAAGACGCAATGTTTACCTTTTGTCATTGGCAGTGTTTGTTTGTGCATCGATATCATGCGCTGTGTCGCCAAACATCTGGCTACTTATTATTATGAGAGCATTGCAGGCGTGTGGATCATCGGCAGCAATGAGTGTTGGAGCCGGAACGCTAAGTGACATGTACAAAGTCGAAGGTGAAACTTGCAATAATTCTAAATTTAATATTTCAGTTTTACGTAAAGCAAAATCTATTTGTTAACATATGAAATGTGTAAATAGAACGCGGAACCGCATATGGTTTTTTATTCTTGGGAGTATTGCTTGGTGAGTCGTACGCTTATTTGCAAGTTATCTAACGATTTAACATCTGTTTAACTGTAACTGTTCTCTTTACAGGTCCACTTTTGGGCCCACTTCTTGGGTGATTATCTACTGCAGTTATAGCTAATAGCAATTAACCGGCTGTATCCTAATTACTAACCGATGCCTTTATTATATAGTGGATATATTGATAAATTTTTTGGATGGAGGTAAACAATAGTTTCAATTGATAACCACGCGTATATACAACGTTAATAAAAAGTTTGCTTTTTTCTAGGTGGATTTTGTGGTTCCTTGCCATATTTGGAACAATTTTATTCATTCTCATATGTTTTTTACCAGAAACATATAGAGATACACGCAAGCTGGAAAAATTAAACAAACGACAAGAACGCGAAAAAAATAGTGATAACAAAGTGGAGGATAATAATAGCAAACAACCAGTGACTTGTATTATTGAACCCACGAATACTAGTACTAATGAAATAGAAAAACTGAACGACCGTAATAAGGAAAGAAAAAGCCAAATTAGTATTGATATTTCCCTTGCTATATCTACTGTATCTACAGATCCTATGGCTTCATCATCTCCAATATCACCTAGTACTACCCTTACCGTTTCACCCCCCACATCTCCTACTACCCTTGTTTCTTCAAATCCAACTTCCCCCACCACTCTCTTTAATCCAATGTTACCAATTGGTGCTTCTCCTTCTTCAATTTCATCTGTGCCTCAAATCGAGAATGGCTCCAACAAGTTTATATCTTTCTTACTTTTTCCACTGTCTCCTCTTCTACTTCTCCGCTACCCAAACTTACTGTTAATAATAACAAATAATTCCGTGATTGTTGCAACGCTGTATATGCAGAACACGCTCGTATCAGCAACATTTCAAAATCGCCATTATTTCCTTTCACCCTCTGCAACTGGGCTTGTACTTATGTCTAGCGCAGCTGGGCTCATGGTTGGAAGTGTATTGGGAGGAAGATATGCAGATATAATACTTGCAAAAGAGAAGAAGAAGAAGAAAGGAGAGCTGTATGCAGAGATGAGACTAAAGAGTGCGTGGTTTGGTATCATCATCTTACCATTATCGTTTACCGCCTATGGCTGGTGTGTAGAAAACGAGGTGTTTATTGTATGGCCTTTGATTTCTATGTTTTTTGGTATGTATGTAGTTAATTAGTAAATATAAATTCAGAGCTGGTTTTCAAGATTATAAATTAAACTCACTTTTTTACTTTTTTAGGAGGATTGGGCATCCTTGTATGTAATACCTGCACCTCAACATACTTGGTCGATGCATTTCCTGGACAGTCAGCGTCAGTAATTTCAGTGTACGCGTGTATCCGATATATAGTTGCTGCTTTAGTGTCTTTCCTGGCTGCTCCAATGGAAAATGCGCTTGGTGATGGATGGACGTTTACGACGCTAGCGTTTCTCAATATTATTGGAGGCGGTGCGTTGGTACTTACTTATTACAAGGGTAGAAAATGGAGAGAAGATTTAGAAAAGGTAGTTGATAAAGTTATAGAATAGCAGTTTTCTATGAACCGCAAGTGACATGCTTGCCCCGCATATTATTATTGAATGCTTTTCTTGTTTAAAAATACTGTCATATATTTATTTTTCTGAAGGCGACTGGACTTGTAAAATAAACTCAGACAAGAAAACGGTCTACTCTTGTGCTAACCAGTGAGACTGTTCTGTTCGTTTCTATAACTGTTCTCGAAACTCGACTTGGCACGCAAATTTTCAATAAAGTTTTACACTGTTTTTACACGTTAGATTTTGATACTCAATGAGTTGGCAAAATTATAACTAAAACTTGGTAAGACATTATATGTCACAACGTTAAGTTTTAAAAATAACAATATTTATAGTGAAAGATCACTGTAATAAAGTTTTGGTAAGATAACATTTATGTCTTTTTTGGAAATTGGATAATTTGCTTTACAAATAATTAAGTTTAAAACATTGTCTTTTTATTAAACTATTAAACACCCCCGGAGATTACGCTAAGGAGACCCATCTCTATTATTTCCGTTCTTTTGCATAATTGATTTTATTTAAAAACTTAGTTTTTTATACAAATGAGGAGTATTATTGTGGCAGGCATTATAATCAGAATTTACAAAAGCTATATAGTAATAGGATGTCGGTTAAATCTAGGGGTCAATTATAAATTTATGTTCTATACTTAATTAGAATAAAGCAAATACTATTCTATTAAATAACATTTGCCTCTTGTTATTAATAATGTAAACTTCTTATTCGCTTTAACACCTTATTACTTAAATATAAACCAAATTTTTAATTAAGCAACCGTCGTATTGACATTTGGTTGCGAATGCTTTCTTCCTCTTCTTTCATTTGATGCCAGAAATCCTTTATCATTTTCGGAGTGCGACCAGGAAAATTTAATGCAATTCTAGACCATCTAGAATTATCAGTACAATTTAATTCTATAAGCATGTCCCGCTCAATTTGGGTCAACGGCGTCATATTAACTATAAAAATAATTATAAAAACCAGTTATTAAAAAAACATACGTAGTATTAATATGACTTGAGAAAGTGCTTACTTCCAGGACTCAATGCATCATTCCATCTAAAGATGTTTCAACAAAGTATTATCATAAATTGTATTAGTCGTTTAATTCGTAAAGTCTATACTTAATATTTAACGTTGTGCAAAAAAAACATCACGTGTATAATACATAACCTACCTCCTGAAACATTGCTTAGCAGTTTTAGTACTCAAAAACCGGGATACCCATGCAGGGCCGTGCGCGTTGTGACATTCGGTGACAATAAAGTCTTCCTGTATATAAAAATATAGCATAAGAGGCTTATGGTCCAAGTCAATTGATCGGAAGATTATGTACAGTATATTACTTGATTACACCAATTTTTTTCAATGCAGTTCATAATGTCACTTTATATAATGCTACGCAAAAATTCGATAAGTACTTTGATTATACTTGAAGCACTGGTGTGTAGACTTCAGAAAGTAACCGCATTTTATGGTAAACATGTTGTATTTATATTAATCGGATTGATCTAGGGTGTGGGCTGTGAATTCGAAACAGAATGACAAAGTAATTGACTAATAAATGACTTGTAATTTGCATAAAAGCCAATAAACTCGAAAATCTTTATACAAATTATCTATTTTAAGACTACATCGCATCTATAATTAAGCACAAATCTCTTGTTTTGGTCGAATAAACTATTAGATGATTTGTTTTATCGCACAAGGCGTCAATGTTATATTGAAGACACGAATCCAAAGCATTAGTATGAAGGCGGGCGTTTCCACCCCCCTTTCAGTTTCATAACTAAACCACTAAAGTACAATTTATTGTAATGCCAAGTTATTGTAACTTCCAGTACATATACCAATATCATTGATGTGGCATATTAAATTTGAACGCTTTATATCGGTTGGTAAGCAAATTGCCATATATGGGGTCATTTATCATTTAATTGACATCATAGTTCAATATATTAGGAAATTTTTGTTCATTGAATAATTTTTAGACGCCCATTATTCTATTGTTCGCCGTATTTGGACGATCGTAAACATGATAAAGATAGAAGCGGTTTGTGAATGAAAAACTACATGTCAAAACGTTGTGAATCTGATTGACTGTTAAATACAGTAAACGTAATTCTGTTATAACATAGTCTTTTGTTGGCTGAATCGGTATCGTTAATGAGATTGATCTGTAACGATGATACATAACTAATCAATTGCTATAACACAACGTAAACAAGTGTATTCGGCCTGTCATATAAAATTTATCTTCAAAAAATTGACCCGAATGTAGATGATTTACACTCGAGGTAACATGAATTTTAAATTGTTCTAAAAATAACCACACCATACTGTGTCATACACATACGGTGTCAACAGAAACTTTGTCGGTTTTTTGCCAACCAGTTTACTATTCTTGTTTTATTTTAATTTAACAACATTACTTAGACTAATTCATGACAATAGTAATAGTTAATGTAGCCAATGCAACGTATACAGTAAATCATTTAAATTTACGTTGAGCAATGTTTAAATAAACAACATTCTTATACGATATGACGTTAGTGTTTGCTGTCAAATGTGACATAAATTACGTATTATGTAACAGAGTTATGATGGTAAAACAAATATTTTCCTTGTTGACTATTTGTAGTCTAACAAACAGTGCTATTTTTATCATAACTATTAATAGAACTGAAACATGATTTAGTGAGTAAATATAGAATAAACTGTAAAAATCAAATGGTAGATTTCTTCATAAAAGTTCTTGAGCGAATGTGCAATATGCATAACATTTGGTTTCTGTTATACCGTTTTGTAGACCTAACCGCACGACATTCGTAACCAACAAACTCAAGATCCTACTTTACTCATCTCTAATAGTTTCAAAATCATATAGTAATAGTCAATGGCCGATCCCATATCAAATATGTAAATTGACTAACAATAGTTCATCTGGGTCTATTCATATTTTTATATTACGAGGAATTATATATGTACATATATATTACACGTTATACATAAATGCAATAATGGGCGAACATGATGAGATGACTAGTAACTAACAAGTCTTACCCAAACTCTATGCATTCCGAGTTAATTGTCTTTCACCTTATTAGTTCACTGCCTTTCAAACAGGATACCTTTTCCTTCCACACGTTCTTGATAGTATCAAACACCTTCCAGAATCTCAATGTATTATCATCGCCACCAGCGCCGGTAACAATATCCTCCCCATTTGGTGACATGGCAAGATACAACACGCGATACGTATGCCCCTTCAACGTGATAATTTTCTCCATGTCTGGATATTTCCACACGACGATGCTGTTCTTCCACCATCCATGCGATGACACTAGTTCATTCTCGCTTTTTGACCATTCGATGTTACATACTTGCGCTTTTGCGTTATGACTACCGATCAATCTGCCGTCTGCTGTATTCCAGAAACAGATTTTACGATCGAGATGACCGCCGCCACTGGCAAGCACGTTGTGCGTGTGTGGGCTCCATGAAAGGGCACGGACGGCTGCTTTGTGATGAGTGAGAGAGTAGATGCGCGTGGGGTTTGTGCGGTTCCATATGAAAAGTTCTCCTGCATTGCCGCCACTAGATAGATGGGTACCTTCGAGATTCCATTCTAGGCCGCATACCTGGGGGAGAGAGGGGAGAGCGGGAGGGATGGAAATATAAATAGTTGTGAATGTCGTATGTTATCCAGTTGTCATTTGCGTTCCGTATGTTGCCACGGTTCCTAAAAGACAAACAGAATTCGTTGCCGAGCACACCTCTGAGCAATGACCAGGTAGTATTCTGAAACAGTCGGCAGGTGATCTCTTATCACTATGAACAATAAATCGATCGTTACTTCCTGAGGTTATTACACTCTCATTCCATGCAAGACAACCTGAGGCAGTGTACATATCAGCGGTTTGCATGCGACTTTTGAAGGACAGACAACACGTCTTTCTTTCTTTCTTTCTTTCTTTGTTTCTTACCCACTCGTCCCTGATGCGTCTTCATACTCTTTATCAGTTGAGAAGTACGAGCATCCCAGAGCTGCACCAACCCATCCGCGGTACCAACGGCCAGGGTTTGCCCCTTTAGAGAAAATCAAACATAAGTATCACAGATTTTCACTGCCCCGGATTTTCCTGCACCTATGCTTGCCTTTTTAATCCAATTGACTGAAGTAATTTTATTTGATGCTTCTAATTCACATAAGCGAGTCATCTATGGACACGATTATACAATGGTAAAACTTTTTCTGATATATATTCGATTAGTAACATCTCACCTGAGTCGTGCTTTTCGACCACAAGTATACGCTGGAATCTATACCAATGCTCAGTACATCGTCTGATGACCAGTCAAGAATGTTCATGTAAAAGTCATCCTGTAAAAATTATAATGTTAGAACAATGGGAAGGTTAAAGTGACTTGTTACGCGTATTGATACGCGTTTCCTCTTTCTCTCCATAAAATGCGTTATTGTCTTATACCTTTAAGCCCAGTTGATCACAGAATGCAAGCATTTGATAGGGCATAGGACTAATATTTCTTTGTTTCTTTAACGGTCTCCGCAACAGTTTTTCTACATTCCATGGAAACGGTGTCAATGAGTAGGCATCCCTCTCGGGCGTATCGATGATGTTGATTCGTCTCTCTTTCGCCCTAAATTTGAATAACCTCCTGCTAAAATAATCTTCATTGCGCGGAAGCATAGCCTGAACGATTACAGCTCGACGGAATTCATCGCCATTGTTATTGATCTGTTGAATAGGAGACAAAGAACTGCCACGGCGTCTTTTAGTGGATAGACGTTCGGAAGATATTGGCGGTTGATGGAAAGCGAAGGTTACAGATAAGTCGGAAGAATGAAGTGGGATGAATCTAAAGAAAGTGCGACATGTGCGTAAGGTAATTTCAAAAGTTATTGTTAGTTGACTAGTCAGTAAGTTAAACATTCCGCTGCTCGCTTGTTATGTTTGTTTACTATGCACACGTACCTATCGGTGTAGGTTGTGTCATTAGCGCATTCGTCAAGTGATGTGTATTCAGCGTCACGCTTAATAAAGGTATAGTGATCCATTTGTACGTGATTAGATTGTTTATTAGACGTTGTTCAGAATATATTTATAGTCTATCTATTATTATTTCTTTTTTGATTATAACAGAAGAGTGTGAAAGAATTGAAAAATCGAGTGTGAAGGAATATATTGTTTTTTTATATACGTGTTACGTGCATAAGTAGCTACATAACCCGCCGCCCAGATTCAATCTCAGAAGTTCTGAATTGCAGGTAAAAAGATGCAAAACCATACAGACGCGTTATATTACGCGTCATATGATATACAAAACTATCGTCGTCGTTTTACTTCTTCTTGATCCTCCTCTCCAGTTGTTTCTGCAAGTATTTTTTTCGGTTGTGTTCTCTCGTATGCCTTTCCCACCCATTTTGGATCCTCTTCTGATATTTGGGCATATCTGAGAAGAACTTCACGTGGATCCTCATCTAAAATGACATAAACATTAACGGTCAAATAAAAAAAGTATCCGAAGAAGTCATTTTGTATATGACAGCTTGCACGAACGCCTACCTCTCGTAGTGTCTTTGATTAGTTCTTTCATTATGTGCTGAGTCAAACTACTACCAATCTTCCCACCTTTACCGGGCCCACTAACCGGGAGATCTAATGGGACATTGACACGTACATGTTAATATAATAATTTATTTCAAGATACCAAAATATGCCATATATTACCTGGTCTCCTCGAAGCAGCAGGATCTTTCCTATCCTTTTCTCTCTTTCGTTTTGTCGTTTTGGGCCTATCATCTCTGAAAAGACTAAGCGAATGTGGCGCAATGATAGGTCTCGCGAGATCGTAATCGTCTACAGCTCTCTTCTTGGGTGCCCTCGAGACACATAGTTTTGCGCCGCGCACGCTAGTATTCGGGTCATAAAAAACGTGTACCGAACCGTCGGCACTACCAGTTATTATTTGATTTATTTTAGAGTGCCAAAGAACACGGACAACGCTCGATTGTGTGATGTTCATTGTGCGGACGGGTTGGAGAGAATCTTTGTCAAGCATTACTAGCTTGCCATAACCAGCCCCTTTCTTGGTAGCTGTCCCGGTAAGAAGCAAGCGCTCGTCTGGACTGAAGATTATGTTTGTTTCCGGGTTGAGTGTGGGTAAGTCGTTCACCTGAGACACCGCTTTTTTGAAATTACGTGTGTCCCATACTAAGCGATTGACGAAGACATGTTAGCACAACGTGACCAAACTCTTCCTCTGAGCTTTAGCGAGCACCCTAGTTGCGAAAACAATCTCTTCTTATCCACCCTATTTGCCTCTACCCTTCTACTCACCCTTCACGGTGTCATCGCCTCCTCTTGTAACCATCGTCCAATTATTTCGTGAGAAAAGAATACACGACGTCTCCGAGTATGGCAGGTGTGCCTTTTCAATCGACTAGCATTAAAGGTATTAAGTTATTGTTGAGATAATTTTAACTATCCAATAACTAGTAATTAGTCAGCATTTGTTATACTTACATGAGATGGCCGTAAATATGGTCCATTCACAGGCCATACGCAGAGCTGTCCGTCTTGTGCAGCTGATTCACACCATAGATTCATGTTAAATTCAATATAGTATTCTATCTTTCGCCCGTTTCTAATGCATGTCAACTCGACACCTACCTCCGGCAATAAGCTTGGCGTCATGGCTCATTGTTACTGCTGTCACGGACGATCTTCCGCCCCTCTCCTTTGATTTATATACAATAATTTGTTTTTGCTTGCGCTTATTTTCAACATCCCAAATTCTATAATATCGTTCTATTATGTTAATAATAATTACAGAGCAAGCATGTATTTCTTGGATCTGTTATAATCACCTTATCGTACTGTCGGCTGATGCTGTGAAGAATGTTTGTTTATCATGTGGGTGCCATCCGCCCGAAGTCAAAGACGCAATATGACCGCTGAATCAGGGAAATAGAAAACATTTATTATAGGAAAATGCCAATATCGAATACTCGTTCTGTAGTTACTTACACTGTATTTCTCATGTCTCTTATGTACGGATCTCCTTTGACATATTCTTCACTAGAAAAAGACGCGTTTGTCATTTATATTCAACAACGAAAATAGACTTTTTTTCCACTTACATTTCAATTCCATCACGATCATACAACTTGGCTCTTGCTGACCCCGATATTATCAAAAACGAGTCACCACTGATACTATATTCTAGATGATGAATCTTGCATAGTACAAAATAATGTATAAATAATTGCAGTCAAATTCAGGAAATCCTAGTTCCACGAGCATACACACCTGGTGATCCCCACACGGTCTGATGCTTCTAAATGGACGAAGTGATGCATCCATACCAGCAAAATCCCAGAATTTTGTATCGAAATCGTACCCTCCGCTAATCAGACGAGCTCCAGAGGGATCCAGAGTTAATGCCGAGACAGTCTATAAAAAGTATGAGTATCATGAAATGATATGGGATATTAAAGCAAGGTTTAGTGAGCGTAATACTACCATACCTCACAAACTATTCAGCATGATCGTTTTAACCCAAAATTCTAACCGTATTCATCAATTCCTTAGCAAATGACAAGATCAGCTCACCTTGGAATGATCATGTAATTTTATCTCATGAGAAATAGGCAAAGTGTCAAATGTTTCTTCGTCGTCCAAACTCTCGTTGTCATCCGAATCTGTCTCATAATCTTCCTCCAATTTGATAGGGCGTTTTGCAGGGGAAGGCTGCCCACTTTCATCTTTTATGCGTTTACTCTCAGGCTCTGTAATTTCTTGTTTTACATGCGCTTTCTGAATAATGGTAATCAATAGGAACATGATCAGAATACGCATGTCTTTCTCATATCTTGGGACTGGCGTATTTCGAGATACGGTCCAAAAAAAAAAACACAAACAATCCTGCAGGAATTCATTCATTTCACTAAACACATTACATACATCACCTTCCTTCCGCCTTGTTTTCTCAAAAGCATCAGTTGTTATTGCAGTCTTCTTCTGTAACCCAAATGAGGTAGGTAACATCGCCCTCAGTTTTGTAGCTTCATGATCTTCCGCTTCTTCCTCGTCATTACTTTCGGATCTGTTCGACTTGGAAGTAAAACCAAATGACTTGGGCAAATATCTTGATAATTCATCGTCTTTACCGAACTACTTGTACGAGCAAAGAAAATGATATGAATGAGCAGGTAGAAATTGCGTGAACAAAGAACTAAAACGTACGCACAAGAGACATTTTTGATACGGTATTGTTGGATAGAGTAGAAAAGTTGGGTATGCCGATCCGTCAATCATAATGAAATTGATCATGTGAATCGGTTCACATAATATTATTAATAAGCATAATACTGTACAATTCTGCCGAGGAGCAAGAGCAGAATTTTTATACGGTATCTCTCCAACTAAGTCGTTCGCAATATACAACCATTAATCCAAAAAACGCCAAGCACAACTAGTAGTCTATAAATACTGATCGGCACCTGATGAGCTTATTATAAAATAACACGACCCGCACTCGTTTTCGTCTTAGGAAAATCAAATCACAAAATCTTTCCAACATCAATATTGCAAACAATTCAACCTATAAAAAAAGCAAACAAAAAACATGTTTGATTTCACTATCGATTCATTTTTGGGTTGTTGATCGGATTTATCTTCGGTCCTTTGCTCACGGCTAATCAACCCTGTAACTCAAATGCTCAAAGCACCAATATCAATCAAATTAAAATCCCAAACCAGACAACTGCTCTGTGAGCGAAAATACTTGTTAAAAAAATACTTGTGGAAAGATTTTGAAATCTCTGAGCTGGACTCAGTTTTATTTAACAAAGTGGTTATAAAATTCCACAAATCGCGCGAAAGAAAAAGCACCATTGCTTTTATTCTAAAAGGCCTTCACCAACAAAAATTCTCGAGAAAAACGATTAAAGCGCTTAAAAATTGGGTAGACCCGGGTAACTATAGTTGATTCGGTGCGAGAAGTATCACATGTTTGTGTAAGTAAAACGTATAAACATGGCTGAGTTGGGCGGCGCAGAGCTAGATCGCGACTCTTTTGTTATCATTCTCATACTTGACAACATGGACCCGCAACTTACCTTGAACGATGTTCCTGATTTGTTTATCGGTTCATATATAAAGAAGAACAGAAATGCCACGGATAATGACATCATTAAGGCATACCAAGAACAACAAGGTAAGCAAGCAATGAATACACGTTTATTGGGGAGGATAGTTGAAATGCATTACGACATGCGTTGGGGTTGGGACATAGAGCAGAGTCTTAGCAAATGTTAGGTTATACGTAAACTCGTCTGAAAGGGCGGAGGAGACAAGGGACATTATGGGTTAAATTGAGAAACAGAGGAAGAATAGTTCGAATGCATTACAACATGTGCGTTGGGAGGAGAATAGTTCGAATGCTGTTATAATCTGAAATGTTTATTGCGTTACTTTACTTCAGTTTCAACCTGAAGTATTGTGTAGAAATAAGCACTAGATTTTGATTAACCAAACTTATGTCTAGCTCAAAATGTCCTAGTACAACAAACGTCAGGGTCGAGTCAAACGCGTGAACTCGAGAGGGCCTTTAACGTCTCGTTCCGAGATCCTGTCGGCTATCTACATGCACTATGCCAACGGATAAGCCAAGTTGCAGATACTGATGACCACTTCAACTACTTGGCTATCATCCAGTCATCAGGGTATGGAAAGACAAGGGCAGGCTGTGAACTTGCGGCCGAATTTCCCTTTGTATATGTCTGTTTTCGCGAAAGTGGCTCAACTGGATACCCTCCGGCCACCCCGAAGAGTGTGAATATGCTGAGCAACATAAATAAAGCAAAGGACGTAGATGAAGCCGAAGTTGAGGCGTTGGGCTGGATTCGATCGATCGTCTCGACGTTTCACGAAAAAAGAGAAGAATTTCGCAAGAATCAACCGCAAGAGAAATATCAACAAGCATTGTTGAAAGATCAGGTAATGTGATTCTTTTACTTGCCAGGCATTAATACAAATATATACTACTTTTTTTTAGCAACAAGCCATAGATTTCTGGGATGCTGTCGATGCCAATCGTGGAAAGGAAGAGGTGCCGAAAACTAATTCTTTTCATCGATGAAGCCTCTGCTCTCCTCTGTATGTATTTATCTCTAATTTCTGAGCAAAGCAGTTCTTATCACAATTAATATTCACGCTTCTTACCCATCTTGTAGCTAAAAAGAAGGATCGAGTGGATGCTACTAAGAAAAATCAGGCGTTTAGAGCAGTTCGGCGTGCCCTATTCAAATATAAAGCTTATGTTATCGGTCTCTTGACAGATACGAATTCCTCGGTCGCCAATTTGGCACCTCAACTCGAGCATGATCCTTCAGTATGTATTAACAATTGGATTCCAATTTACTTTTTGGAAACCCTTACTTTGTTACATATAATAAGTCTATAAATAACTGAAATTTGACATCAAACCGTTTTTTAGGCGAGGGACTTTAACCGTAATGTCCACAAACCATTCATCTACCTGGCCACGATGGATTGCCTGAGGTTAGCTTTTTTTTTGTCTTTTTGTCATTTATATCCATGACTGCACACTCAATTATCAAATGGGTTTTGTAGTACTGATATTTCACTCAGTGAGAACGGTTCGGGTCATGATATTGTCCGGTTTGGCCGACCGTTATGGGGTTCTTGGTGGCAGTCAGCAGAGTCCTGGGAGACAAACCAAGACAAATTTAGGAATACTGTACGACTTGCCAAGTTTAAGCTTCTTGGGGGAACGAATCAATGGAACCAGGATTAGGATGTTAAGATGAAAAGAAATGCAGCACTTGCCATAATTGCTTGCATCGCCACTTTATATATCTCCCCAATCTCGAGTGTTGCACCTGATCTTGTCAAGTCGCATATGGCAACATTGATTCACATTGATGATGATCGCAAGAAGCATTTGATAACTTATCCATCTGAGCCTGTATTGGTCGAAGCTGCACTGGAGGTACTATCAGAGAATGGTGTAGAGCTTGAGGTACTAATGGAATTGGATGCTGTCAACAAATTCAGTGGAATTCTTGATGCAGGGAGCCAGGGGGAGCTGGTTGTGAGGTTGTTATTCTTGAGTGCATGGTGTTGATTGATCTGCTTGGAGAGAAACAGCAGTAATAAGGTTTGTGTCAAGCATTTTTATTCTGGTTGTCATTTGCATCAGCTTATTTTTGTCCATTTGCCTTGTAAAGGTTTCATTCTCAGTCAGACGTCCAGTTCTCAGTTTTCTTCAAGAGCTTTTTGAACAGGAGCTTCCAGAAAAGAGCTTGGCCTACCTGAATGACTTTGAAGTAGGATTTACCCATTTTATTGGACTTATGGAAGTACCAGACATATCAACACTCAATAGTGTTTGGGATTGATGTGGTGCTATGCATTTTAAGAACAACCAAGAAGGTTCAGATTTGGGCTAGTTATTAGGCATAAGACAGATAAGGAGCATTTAGGAGCATTAGTGGTACAGGTTAGTGTGATTACAATCTACAGAACATTTTTGCCTCAGATGAAGAAGAAAACTAATTATAATATGCAATACATAGGTCAAAAACTATGCAGTTATAAGTTAAGCAGAACCAAATGGAGGAAACCTTTGCAGCAGGATGTCAGCTTGAGCCCAGGATTACTTTCTCTGAAGACTGTGCTAACATTATTAAGGATAATTATCTGGCCATTTATGTTCACATTGGTGAGATCATAAATTTGATATAGTAATAGTAACAATTTCTACAGAAAACAGAGTATTTTAGTAAATTCTGTCTATTCTCTTGCAGGAGTAGGAGTGGCATATAAAGACACCCCTGAGCTTAAATCCTTCAAATATAGCACACCAACTACATGATCATCTACATCCAAAACAGCTGAGCATTCTAGCAATGATAATCAGCTTTTCGTCTGTGGTCTAGGTTCCTTTAAATTCGAACACTGGAATATACTTGAAAGTCTTCTTTGTGCACGGAATGATGCAACACTACTCTGCACTCCAGAAGACAGGCATTTTCTGTATTATATGTTACCCTGTGTTTATGAGAGTGCTAAGAAAAGGTAATTTCTTCATGTGCTCAACTCAAACCTATTATTCTGCAAGTGACAAACATGCTACAATTTGCAGGTTACAAGTCAGTGATGAGCAAGAAGAAAGTTCATTGACTGCAAAGAAGCACAAGCAGAATAGAAACAAGCAAAGTCACAGTAGTACATAGAGACTTTGCTACACTCCAAATAGAATTCTCATCAAAAGAAAGTTGAATAAGATTCTTATCAAATTAAATTTGTAAAGTTAACTGCTAGATTGCATAAAATGACATTTTTGCATAATAAATTGGCCTAAATCTATAACACATTACTGCATTATGTTCCACAAGTCACTTGAGAGAAAGGATAGACAAACATGCTTCAAATTAGTTAGTCGATGAACACAATACCAAAACCGTTTTCAATAATTTATGTCAAATATGCTGTGAAAAAAATTACAAAATGATAAAAACTATATATAGGATTACCCGTGTATGGAAAATTATACTTATAATGGTTCAACTGAATATGAAAAAGCAGTGCGTTTCTTAAAGGTAGGTTGCAAATGTGGTTGCTCGAAAATGATTCCGAGAGAGAGGTTTGCCGAATTACGTGAGGCGTTTCAAGCTCTCTCTAGATCTGAGCAAGATATATTTTTAATGGCCCAGTTGAAAGCAATGAATGGTGAGGAAATAACTGCCAGCCGACGTCTTAAAAAGAAAACGCGTACTAATAAATGAACTTTTTATTATTGAGATCGTAATACGCCACTTTGTCAGAAGACGTATCTCAATATGTTAGGAATTGGTCGTACCCATTTCGAAAACGTCAGAAATCACCTAGCGACGAATGGTATAATATCGCGAGTTCATGGTAACATAAAACGAATACCGCGATGGAAAACCAAAATAACCATTGACATAACCGTTGCTACTGCCGTGAAGAATTTTTTCGAAAACTATGCGGAAATTTATGGACTACCAAGTCCGGGTAGAAATGTCAATCGCATTACCCAATCACTTACACTATTACCTGAAAACGAGTTACAAGTCAGTCTATCGCGATTTTATTGCCGGTCTCGAAAACGATAGCACGTTGAAATTGTTAAAATATGACGCATTCCGCAAGTTATGACATCAATTAACGCCTTATATTCAAATTGTGAGTCTAAGAACGGATTTATGCGAAACATGCCAACATTTTCGGAACGGCTTACAATACAATGCTCGCAAGGAAGAAGAAGCGAAAAATTTATTGAAAAAATTCAAAAAACACCTAGTTAAAGCTAAGACCGAGAGAAATTATTACAACAAAAATACGAAATTAGCAGAACAACAAAGGAAATTGGTAGAC